CCCCGGTCCGGGGGTGGGGGCAGCTTAGCCCCTTGCCCGCTGCTCTCGGGCTGGAGGACGAGCCAGGGGGGCCCAGGGTGGCGGGCTGTGTCTGCCCGTCCCGTCTGACCCTGCCGTGGCCCCGGGTCCCATCTGTTTGGGGGAGTTCTAGAAATGGAGCTTTGGGGGCGGGGGAGAGGGTGCCTCTGTGTGACACCCTAGAAATCAGCGGAAAGGTCAAGAATAGGCAGTGACCCTCAGGTGGAGCAGGAAGGACGGGAGGGCAGAGAGAGGGTCGCGGGGCTAGACGCAGGGGGGACCGGGGGCTGAGAGCGCTTTCAGAAAGGAGAGCCAGCGCGCCCTCGGCCGTAAACGTTGCCGTTTTTCAGGGGACGGCGATCCCTGTTTGGGGAGAGCGGTGGTCACCCTGAATCCCAGGCCGCCCCGCCCGCCGCCCGGGTTCACCTCGATGCTTTGTGGGAAGTGTAGTTCCAGGGCGCCGCAGGCCCACGCTGGGGTCATAAAAATTGAATTTTCCTAGGACACGTAAGATGATTTCTGATTGCGTTTGGGATGGTTAGACGAAATGTTTAGGTTGAGCTTTTGTTTGTTTTTTCAGTGCTGCCCATCGGTTTATGACAAAAACAAAAAAGGTGTTATTTAGGGATGATGTGAGTTTTAAGGGGAATGAAGCATGGGTGAGGTGTCGCAAGCCTTGTGAAGTTTTTGTTGTTATAGTCCCTTCTGCATTTCCATACGAAAGTAGTTATAAACATAGTAATTTGTGTTTCTTTGGTGTTTGGCAGTTTAAAGCTACTTTTATATACGTGATCTTACTCTTGCCCTCATAACAACCTTGTAAAGCAGGTAGGTAGGAATTATCCTTGTTTTAAAGAGGAGGCAGGTTTAGAGAGATTAAGTTCCTTGCTCCTTTGACAGAAAACTGGTGTAGCAGGAGTAATGTTTGTTCATTGTGAAGCTGAAATAAACAGTTGGTGTGACCCTGGGCAGGATGGAGAGTCTGAGTGGACAAGGTCTCAGGGTGTTTTTGGAGATAGACATGGTTTGAGGGCCGCAGAGTTGATCAGATCCAAGCTGGAGCACCCCTACCAGGCCTCCTGGGGAGATCAGTTCCCTGATTTTTTTTTCTTCCCTTTTTTTGTTATTGTGGTAAAATACACATAACGTAAAATTTATGGTCATAACCATTTTTAAGTTTATAGTTCAGGGATCTTAAGTACATATTGTTGAGCAACCATCACCACCATCCATTTCCAGAACTCTTCATCTTGCAAAACTGAAAGTTTATACCCATTAAACCTGAACTCCCTATCCCACCCCGCTCCACCCTCCCAGCACCTGGCACCCATCATTCTGCTCTCTCTCTGATTTTGACTGCTCTAGGTATCTCATATAAGTGGACTCATACATGATTTTGCCTTTCTGTGACTGCCTTATTTCAGCCTAATGTTACTTCAGAGTTCATCTCTGTTGTAGCATGTGACTGTATTTTCTTTTATTCCATGTGTGTATATATTGCATTTTCTCATCCATTCATCTGTTGATGGACACTTGGGTTGCTTGCATATCTTACCTGTTGTGAGTAATGCTGCTATGAACATGGGTGTACAAATACGTCTTTGAGACTCTGCTTCCAGTTCTTTTGAGTGTATATGCAGAAGTGGGATTGTTTGGTCATATGGTAATTCTGTTTTTAATTTTTTTTTTTTTAAAGATTTTATTTATTTATTTGAGAGAGAGAGAATGAGAGAGAGAGCACATGAGAGGGGGGAGGGTCAGAGGGAGAAGCAGGTTCCTTGCTGAGCAGGGAGCCCGATGCGGGACTCGATCCAGGGACTCCAGGATCATGACCTGAGCCGAAGGCAGTC